TGAGGTTTGCGCGGAACAAGGAATTCGTGACGTCCTTTCCTGCGTCTTGTCCGTACGGAACGTCCGTGGCGGCTACGCGTGGAGTGGTGAAAGAGGAGGTGGCCTATAATGACGGCAATGGCTTTGTCTCGGGGGGTGGCTTCAGTCGCCATTTCAAGCGGCCGGGTTACCAGAGCGGGAAAAGGAGTGTGGTCGATGCGTATCTGGGTGGTGTGGTTAAAAGGGAGTATGAAGGAAGATATCGTAGGGAGGGGAGGGCATACCCGGATGTGGCGGCGCAGGGGTACAGACGACCGATCGTGTGGGATGGGAAAACCTATCTGGTCGATGACGCGTGTGCATCGTTCCCGACGTTTGTGGCTATGGTGGTGGTGGTGGCGTGGTTGTTGCAGTGCGGCCGGTGACCGTTGTAGTTGTTTCTGTGATCGTGGATGTTGCTGCGGTTGGCGTTGCGCTTGGGGTTCGGGGCTCACGGGTATGATGGTTGGAGAGAGGTGCGGGTTTCGGTTGGGTGCTGTAGCTGTGGCAGGCCGGTAAGGGAAGGAAATACGGTGGTGCTGGAGGGGGCTTAAGGGTGGGAGCTGGGAGGCGTTAGTAGGGCGGTCAGGGAAACGGGCCAAGAAAATGTCTTAAGCGTACATACCTGTGGAGGGTCTTCGAGCGGGCTGGATGTAAAGGATCCTTTTTGTGATTCTTGGGTATCCTGCCGTCTGCCACCGAGGAGGAAGAACCCCATGAGCGCAATGTCAACGAAACTGTTCACAGCTGTCAGCCGCCGACCGGTATCTCGTGTTGATGATATGAACGACATACATGCTCAAAGCGGACACGGCGCATCCCGCTCTAGTCCAAGTCGAAACCTGGTGCCAGTCTGTCCCGTCGGCGGCGAGGCTCACATGCCTCGCAAAATACGACAACGGGCAGCACCAGAGCCCAGCACAGACGGCTAGCCATGGTAAGATCATGAAATAGTGATAGGACCCGAGTTTTGACCGAGTTAGGTAACAGTATACCCCAAGTAACAGGTGCAAGCTAGTCTATCCAGTCATTAGTTTCCGATTCTCAGCTATCGGGCTACCAGAACTCACGGCAACCACGGCCAGGACAAACGGGACAGATTTCCCGCCAAGCACGAAAACCGAGGCATAAATGGCGATGGCGGCGATAGGGGCTTGAATAAGAAGCAGCCAGGCAAAGAGGTTAGGGACTATCACCCGCTTTACAGACATTGTCACCTCATGACAACAGCATACGCATTAAGTCGTTAGAAAGCGATGGAAGTTGTTGTTTCGCCACAGAATAAAAATGATCATGTCCGCCGCAGAGCGGACAGGCCGAGGAAAGACAGCCATGACACAGACGATGGAGACGGCGGCGCTTTGGGGTCGAGTCTAGACTCTTTTCAACCAAGTCATTGACAACAAGGAGCCAAGACTCCAAGTATCTGGCCTAAAACAGCTCAGGCCGAAACAAAGCGTGATGGCGGAATGGCTGCAGCCACCAGGGGCATGCTTGTTTTGATAGGGCATTGGGGTCAGATGCGAGACGCAGGAGTGAGACATTTGGAGAAAAGGAGGGTTAGCGGCGGGAAGGGGAGGGGAGTTGGACGAGGTAAAAGATTGGTATTGTATTTGCGAGCGAACTTATTGATGTCGATGGGGGTCGATGCCAGATTATTACCGTCTCAAAATATGACTTTTCGCGATGGTGACTGGTAATAACTTTGACGTTTAAATGATAGTTTGAGAATGAATGTGTTGGCTGTTCAGGGTTCGGTCCTTGCCTGCCGACGAGCCGATGTGGGATGTGGGGATTTCAGCGGAGCCAGCGCCGGCCGAACATGCTGTCAAGTGTCAAAACAGTTCGTTCCTGTTAGCGCAAAAAATCAAACCTGCCAAGGGTACCTCTATGGTGCACGAGAGCGGAAGAAGGGAAGAAAAATGAGAAGAGGAAGGAAGGAGGATTCAGTGAGGCGGCAAAAAGATATAGATATTTCGTGACCACATCCTTCCCCGTCTCTCCTCCCTCGTCCCAATGACGATGCCTCTCGAAGCATCGTCGCCCTCAATTGGGTCAGACGCTCAGAAACCCAAACAGGAAGTGTTCACGCGATGATTGGCCTTCCTTCGAACATGGAACTCCACCACTCGGATTCATAATTCGACCGGCGGCTCCCATCCCCAAGCCACAGACACGCAACCGTTACGACTCTCTTGAAATGAGCAGACTACGAATATCAACCTGAAACCACATCGCCGGCGGCCTCTAGACCTGAGAGCAGCCATGGGAGATGAAAGTGAGGCTGAGCGCGACAACCCAATTGCGACTGCATCGCGTTCGACAGCCAATCCGATTGGAGAATTCTGCTGACATGCATGATGGGATCCTGGTCAAGTCGTGGTCCTGGCGCCCTTTCTCGGCATGGCCATTGCCGGTTGCCTTTTTACTGCCAGTGTCGGCGTAGCTAGTGGGCTTTGCTGCGCCACGGGGATGCGCAGAGTGCTCGGCGACCGACAATTCAGTTCAGTCAATCAATCCTTCATTGTGGGACAACTTACCTACTCCACGAGTGAACTGCAAACTACCTATCTACCTATCTACCTACCGGCTACCTACCCATCTATCTATCCCATCGTGGCCGGTTTCTGTCTCTCAAGTCGGATGTCAATTGCTTGGGGCCGATCACCTAAACCTCCCGATTCAAGCTGAATTGTCGTCGGGGTTTCCGGGATTCCCGACTCGCCATTCTTCGGAACCGGGCCACAGCTCACATCATCAAGGTAGCCAAGCCGGCACGGCACGTAATTAGTCGCCTTCACGAAAACAAGCATCAGCCGTCATGGAGCCGCCTCAAGGGTCCGTTGTGGAGGAGAAGATGCGTCTTCAAGAGCACCTCCAGCGTCAACAGCAGCAAGAGCAAGAGCAACAGCAGTCAGTGCCGCAGTCATCACAAAGCCGCAGTCCCGCTTCGGGAAGCAACACGGTGCCTATGACCGAGGAAGAGCTGGAGTCATCACCGGTCCACAACCAAGCACCCCTCATGTACTCTCCCACCCCGAGCCATGAGTCTCCGGCCTACGCTCCCACCCACATGCAGATACCCCGGGTCCCCGTTCCGCCCCCCGCCCCGGTTGTAGGATACAACACCACGCCGCGCTCGCCCACCGCGCCCA